GTGAATGCGGTTTACACGCACTCAACAATCCGATCATCATCTGATTTCTGCAGTTATCTGATTATTCTAATGGTCATGTGTAAACAGCATACTCTGATTTCTTAGATCGGAGTAAGGTCTAGAAATCCGATTAAGAAATCCGGAGTAAGGTCTAGAAATCCAATTAAGAAACAAAGAGAGCTGGATTTTAGCTGAGTAATCAGATGTCTCAGTGCATGTAAACTCTTACTCTGATTTCTTTCAGATTTCTCAGTGCGCATGTGCGAAACAGACGGCAGTACCGGAAATAAGCAAGCAGCGTTGCCATGATACGCAGCAAAACACTTTTGGAGCGACACTGAAACCAACTACATGCTTGATGGAATGAAGGATTTGTATATGCTTCATCTTTTAGATGATAAGGTGAAGTGCCGCGATATCTTTATTAAAAAAAAAAAATGAAGCATGCATGAAGTTTAAGTTTTACATTACATTTACGTCACGTCTTCTGCTGTGAGTTTATTGGCCGGCTGCAAAGCAGAGATCTGATTACTGCCTGACTCGTAGACCCAGAGTTTTCCCATTATCTGATTACTGTGATTATCTAATTTAGTGCATGTAAACGCATTGATCAGATTACTGAAAAAGTCTGGTTTTTGCTGAAAATAATCTAAAATTCTCACTACCAAAACAGTCACTACTGAAACATTTGGTAAAGTTTTGGTCGTGTTATTATTGTATTGGTAATGAAAATGGAATGTTCAGTCATTCACTTTAATAAAATAAACATGAATTAAAAAAAGATTTTAGTCTAAAATCCAAGTCAGATAAAAGTCTGAAATTTATTGTCAAATCTGACTTTGAACCAGTTTGGTAGAATGATCCACATATCCCACCCCCACACTGTGATGAGAACTGTCACACTAAAATGAAATGAATGCTTTGCTTTGTTTTTACATAACACTTTACTGCACCTATCACTGTCAGTATTTCCATATCTCTGCACAACAGAAGTTCTAGTAATAGCTGCAGAAACAACAATAGCCACACATCTGGCCTTTTCTTCTTCCCACCCTTATCATGAACAGCTGACGATCTGTCAGCCGACCTCCGGAACAAATCATCTTTGAAGGCTTGTGCTCCTAGTTTTTTCACTTACCTTCACTACTACAATCTTTGAAACTGTAATTCTCTCACAAAGATGATGTGTTGTGTTTTGTTCATGATGCATGTGGTCCATGCATGTGACATTATTGATTCCGTAAATGTGTACGTGTGGGTTCTTTCAGGAAAGAGATGTTTTCAAACTAATTACAGGTATGGATCAAATACAAGGAGTTCATCAAGAAGCCACTTGTTTTAGTTCTGTCCTGTCCTGTGGGACAAGGGAAACCCCTTACACCTTAAAGGAGGTCTGTTGAAGATGTCCAAGCTCAAGCCCTACCCTCAAGTGCAAAACACAGCTTTGCCCCACAGTTCTTTAAGACCTTGGTTGAGACTGCAAAGGCAGAAGCTTTGTTGACATGAACAGCTGCACTGCCAGCCACCCTGCAGCACCATGTTTACCAGGTCACTGGTGACAATACTGATGACAACAACACAGAGGTGGTGCACCAGGAAGGGCTAGCCCAACCCCCCTGTCAACCTCACAACAGTGCCTGTCAGGAGCCTATAGAAAGTCCAAGAAGATGAGCCCTGTTACTGCTGTGTGCTCAGCCCCAGCACAACACTGCTCCCAAAAATGACAGCTGCATGGCACAGTGAAGGGCACATCTGGAAAACCCACTGCCACTCAAAAAAACACCCTGAGCCACAGAGGATGGATGTATCTGGAGTGCAACCTTGAAGATCATCAAGTGGGGGGCTTGGTGATTACCAGGTACTATGTCCCTGGGTATGCTCTCCAACAATGATGGCCTGTACCATCCTGGGTGCCCCCTGGGATATCATTTAAGATAGTAACTGGTGAGCAAATATAGATGCAGTTGGTTTCTGAAGGCCAATCAGAAGATTAGAGAGATGGTAGAAATATATATCATTGAGCCATCCAACAGCCCTGGCAATTCTTGTCCATAAGTTTCTGACCGATAGGTGGACACAGCTGCTTGCATCTCTGCACTGGGTACCAACAAGAGGGGGAGGTTCCAGAGATTCTATGTTCATTGTTCATCAAGTAGTTCTCTTTGAACTTCAGAGCTTCCATGAGATGTACTTCTATGACATAGAGACCCATGCGGTGGCTTTTGAGGGGCCTCTGCAGATCGTCCAGCAGGTCCTGACTGCTATCTACCAAGCTGGGTTCTGCTTCAAGACTGTAAAGTGCAGTTTGCTATGCTTTCTAGGCAATGTACTTAAGACTGATGGCGAAGCTACCAATTCCATAAAGGTGACTGCAGTCCAGCCTGTTTGTTGGGACAATGTGGGCTGAATTCACTGAGACTCTTGCCCTGGCATACTCTGATGCAAAGGAGACATTCATTGTCATCCACTGAGTATACCTTTATTGTCCATATATCCAGTCTTGATATGTGCCAGCCTAATCATTGTTCAGAAATACACAGTAGCTTGTACCATGTCCACCTCTGCCAGCTACAAGGGCATAAAAAGGAGGTAAACAGGTGTGTGTCTCCTTTTGAACCTTCAAAAAAATGTCTGTCCCTGAACTTCAGCATCCAGTGGGTGGTGCTGTGTCAAATGCTGAAATTGGTGTCCAACTGAAAATAGGTGTACTGTGGTGCTGCACCATCTCTTTGCCACAATCTGCAATAAGCGAAAAGGACAATATGTGCCCTGTCTCAGCTGCCACCCCAGATCTGGACAAGTGCTGCTGGTTTTCCTGGTAAAATTACAAATTTTACCAGTTTGTAATAGTGCTTCTACTTTTTTGTAAAAAAATGGTTTTGTTAAACATTTTCAGTTAAAAAAATGATAAAACAGAACATAATAGACACACAAAGATGCACAAATAAGTAAAATAAATTCCAACAAGACAAAAACACTGTTCAAAACATTTTTTGATCAAGTCAATGGACGCAGACCAAGTGAACACAGTATCAGCCTTGGCTCAATTCATTCTGGCAGTGGCCCACGCTAGGACCAAAACATTCATAAAATAGTGCTAGAATGTAGATCTTAAGTTTACTCTTGGTTCTCCATGAAAGTTCAATATTGCTTTTTTCTCTGCTGTCAAAGAAGCCACTACTATTTTCTTTTGATGGAGCTTCAAATTAAGTACTGAGTCATCTCTGAGCAGAAACAAGAAGATCTACATCTACAAGAAAAGAGAGAAAGGGGGTGAATAGTTTTATTTGGAATGCACAGTGAGAAGTAATGGTGCTTCTTCTATTGTCCATTATTTTCACAGCGTTTTCAGTACATCACTCTGGTGTAGTGCTTTCACATTAGTTACCATGTAGCTGTGAATCAAGTCGGTCTGTGAAATAAAGTCTGTTTGTTTTGCACTGACTCACTATTGGCCAACGTGCATTGGACTCATCATCCTGAACACTTTGTGGACCCCCCATTCTTCAGAGCTGCTGAGGGGTGTACTCCCATGATTTGCTGGCCCATGCAGTGAATTGTAAGAACCTCTTGAGAAGGTTCTGACCTCTATCCACCAGCCTGGCTTCTGCAGCAAGCCCATAAAGACCAGATTACTATGCCAAGAGACAACATTCTGGGGCAGCGTGTGGTATGTCCCTGTCCTGCAGGACAGGTGTCCCGCACCTGGCCTTGTCTTTGGGACAATGCTCTGGGCTGCTCTTACTGAGACCCCTTGTCTGGCATACCCTGAGGCAAAGTGGCCATTCATTATCATCCAGCTGAGTACATATTTACTGTCAGCTTATTTTGCACTGATTAGACGGACATGAAGCTTCACATCACTCTTGTCCTGATCATTTTCCCGCTGCCTGATTCATCTCATCAGGTTTAGCCAGAGAGTTAGAGAAGAAATACTGTGCTGGACTCTGACCCTCCTTTCCCAAACCCTGCTTTGTATCAATATTTCAGTGTGCAAACACTTACAGCATAAAGTCTGTACATATATTATCACAGGAAACGTAGAGGAAATGGCAAGAGCGGTGTGTGTGTGTGTGTGTGTGTGTGTGTGTATGAGAGAGAGGGAGAGAGAGAGAGAGAGAGAGAGATGGTCCTAAACCCTGCGAGTCTAAAGGAGCTGAGGTGCAGGAAATGCCTTATCGATCACTTCCACACCTCCGAACGAGTCGCCCAGTGACGGAGCCTTTAAACTTTCCAGCGGAGGCGGGGTGTGTGTGTGTATGTGTGTGTGCTTCTGCGCGCGCGCGTGCGTCCGTGTGTGTGTGGGTCCTTTTCCTCGCCACTCCAGCCGTATGATTCATGCGGAGAGCGGCGCTGAAACGCGGATTACGATCAGTAGCGATGCGCTCATTTCACTGGGAATAAACCGAACACACACACACGCACACGGAGGCGCGAGGCAGTGCGGGAGCGGCTGTCGGCTCTCGGCTCGTGCTGCACTCGTCTTTTCAAAGCCGCCTCCAGATTCTCTCTCTCTCTTTCTCTCTCCTCTTCTGGAGATCACTGGACATCGGCGCGGACAGTGCGCGGACACGCCGCCGCTTCTCATCCTCACTCTCTTTGCTTTTGGTGATTTTTCTGTTTGTTTTCTTTTCGGCGTGAAAGAAACCTTCCTGCGGAATTTCGGCGAACCCCGCGGTGCGCGCGAGATGGTTCAGTCCAGCTGCACGAGCCCGCTCTCGTCGCGCGGGGGTTTCTCTCAGCGCCGCCGCGCACTCACACGTCCTTCTTAAAGAGCAGCGGATAGCAGTGGCCTGCCAACAAAAAAGAGAAGAAACAAGGGGGAAAAACAGAAGAAGGAAAACACAAAACAAGCCCCTGCCATGAACGCCGCTGTGGACTCGAACGGAACGGGACCGGCGAGGAGCGCGTGCGGATGCGCGTGCAGCGAGCGGAGGAGAGCGGAGGGCGTCGCGCGGATGTGGCAGCGGTGGAGCTGGAGCTGGAGATGGAACACGAACATGAGCACGAGCACGAGCAGGAGCAGGAGCTGGAGCTGGAACTGGAGCCCGCTCCTGCTATTCTGCACGGGACTACTGGCCGCATCGGCTCACGGTGAGTTAGTCCCCCCTCCCTCCCCCGTCTCCCTGCGCGCCCGCGCGGTCGGGGGGTTTGGCCGTTTGGTGGAGAGTCTGTGCCGCTTCGCAGTCTGTGTGAATGCGAACAGAGTGATGCGCACAGTGCGCGCGCGGGGGGTCCGTTAGTTTTGCGCGGTCTCCGTGCTCTGGATGGAAATGGCTGCTGTATTTTGGGGCGCACGGGCTCGAACGCCTCGCGCTACAGATGGACCGGAGAACCGAGTCGTCCTCCCTTCTGGAAGATACGCGCGTCAGCTTAGTTGCTTAGTTTAAACTCTGACATGTAGTTAAAGCGCCTCGCGGGGATTGGTGACGTCTCTGTGTGTGTGCGCGCGCGCATTTGCGTCTATGTGTGTATGTGTGTGTGAGATTCTGCGTGTGCGCGCGCGCCTGTGTATGTGAGGAGGCGAGAAAGAGTGAGTTTAGGAAGATGGGGGGCGTATGCGGGGGTGGCATCAGCTTTTACGCTGTTATTTCGCTCTATTTCTAGCTGGTGAATTCCTCTGCAAATATCATTCACCACAAGACCCTCTAGCGAAATCGGCTCTGTGCACGCGAACCGACCCCAGCGAGAAGGCCATTTGAAACTTTTAAAACGTGTCCAGCAGAGCAACAGTTAAGAGCTTAACTGGCTTTCACCTCATTAATATACGCTATCGTGCCGTCGATTGTCGTCAAAGGTTTGGAGTCAATGGCAAAATTCACATTCACCAGAAACAACGGCTCTCCAAGCCTGCTCCGGTCACTCTCCTTACGGTTGTTGCTGAGATTCAGCGGTTTCTTCCCATCGTGCGCTGCTATTTAAGCCGATTTCCTTTCGCTAATTGTTCCTTTCGCTAAACAAATGAATATCGTGTGTGTTAAGGTGTGAATACAGGCTTACTAGCTGCTTCACTGCTGTGGTTCTTCGCGTTTTCTCTCCTCGTTTCAGCTCCTTAAATCGTCCCCAAGCAGTTGCCCTCTTTTCCCATTGAGCGGCACCAAAGCTTCACAATACCTCAACAAAAACAGAAATAAATCCCTCATCGATTGGCTTTACAGCACGAAAAACAACCGTATAGCTCGTGCTCGGCGTTAAAGAGCTTTGTGGCACGCGGGTATATGATGTTTAACGTGTCGTTTAAAGTAATAGAAGCAGTTTGAGGGTTTAGTATGAACGCACATCATCAGACTGCAGTACGGACAGCGAGCCACGAGCTCAGGATCAGCGTTTTTCACTGTGGAAGCGTCAACACGTCAATGTGCTGTCGCTCATTTCTATTTCTGACTATTTTATGACCAAAAATAAACACGGTGAGGTGAAGACAGGCAGACTGGAGCTTTGGCCCGTTTCTTTCTGTTGTGACAGTGAACAGAGGTGCTCTGGTGGAAGGTGGCCAAGTTCAGCGTTTTTGGGGGCTCATCGCCTCTCCATATGAGCCACACATGTCGTGACGCGGGCGTTTGATTGGCTCAGGATTTCATGCAGCCTATTGACTCTTGCAGATCCTCGTCGATAGTGGATGTCTTAATGAAATGGGAAAAGTGGCAAAGTCAGGCTATTCTCTATATGATGCAATTTAGTGTAAGGCTCTGTTGAACAGGCAGGGAGACAAATCTCCAAATCTCTTAATCATGTTCAAGAGATTATGGTCTATGAACTCACTTTTTTTTCTTTGTCGTTTTAGTTTTGTTTCTGACAGAGCAAGAAGGCACCATCTATTTAGGCTGTGTCTGAGCACACAAGGTGGCTCCATGAGCAATTACTGGAGCAGGGGAGTTCAAAAAGTGCCTGTTTAATTATATACATCTACATATTTATGTTTTTAATTTCCAGCATAAGCATTTTCATGCTTCTCATTGGGTATGAAAATATCAGTCATGCAGCAACAGGTGCTTGAAGAACGCTTCAGTGTGTCTGTTCTACGTGGAACATCTCAGTACCTTTAGTCAGGGAACATAATTGTACCATAATCCATTGAAATTACGTGTTCTAAGTTGTATTGACTCCACACGCCCCGTCTCATCTCCAGGCTTTTTACTGTATTGTTCAGTTTAAAAATGAAAAGGTACAAATACTTATTTAAGGTGCACAATTGGACCTTAAAACCACCTTCGAGGGCACATATACATTGTTTGTACCCCGATGAACCGAAAATGTACCTCCAAATTATTTCTAACAGTATATTTTTACTTATATATATATATATATATATATATATATATATATATAATATATATATATATATATAGATATATATAAACAAACCTTTGACTGTACCTTAGTTCAAAGTTACAAAGTTCTTCACGCTAAAAATGGTTTAGCAGTTCCATCTATTGTATAAAAAAATGGTTCCATCTATTGAAAGGTTCTTTGGATAACCAAAAGTAATTCTTCTGCAGCATTACTCCCAAGAGCCTTTTCTAGCTGTGTAGTGGTGGTAAATTTGAGGTGAGAGACCCCTGAAGTGAAGCTCCCTTTACAACTGCTAGACATTCAGCACCACGGACAGCTCCCCCATTCAAGATAAACTTCATCAGCTTTTCCTCAAAGCAGCAATGAGGTTACTGTAGCTTTTGTATGCAGGACTTCCCCTTTTGTATAGTTACGAAGTGAAAACTGCAGAAGGATGAATGTTTTAGATGAATGTGCAGGTTTTGTTGCTATTCCTGCCACAATTCCCAGCTTCAGTCCATTCAGGACCACGGACAGCTCCCCCAGAGTGGTTTCCACAGCTGTGCAAAAGCTAACAGTCTTAAAAGGAACTCAAAATGTGCTGTGCACATTGTTGTAGAAATGCCAGTGAAGCTCTGCACATACTTTAACCTGCTCTCTCTCTGTCCTCGATGTGCACACATGGTTGTCTTTACTGAGAAAATTAACACCTGCCCCTCTGTTTGTTCACAGCAGAGACGTATGGAATACTAAACAGGAATATGTGCTGCAGCACTCTGCTTTGAGATGCAGCCCTGTTAGCTTGCAAGTCTCAGTGGTGTAGGAGCAACGTTCACACAGTAAAATCATTATTTAATTGAAAGCTTATAGTGTTAATTGAATTAAACTCAGAGTAAACCAGAATCGTACCATTTGACTCCAATTGTGGGCTGACACGTTCATATGCATTCACTGATTACTGCAGTGATTATCAAAGTGAATGTGTTATGATTGGAAATATCATACATTAGTGGCTTGCTCTAATTTAACAAGTCAAAAGGATGTTCTGTACCATGTTGCCTATGTCCATTAATGTTTAGTTGATTCTAAGTAAGTGCTGTGGTCAAGGCTTTTAAGCACTGCTTTCAAGAGACCCATAAAAACAGCATCATGGACTCACGTTTCACTTTTCCTTCTTAGTTTATTTTTCTTCTTGTCCTTTCTCAGTGCAAGTCAATGCTGTATAGTGACAGGATGAGCTGAAGGTCTTAATCACATGCACATAAACTCGCCTGCATGCGGGCATTTCCTCAGAAGATGTGGGAAAAGGGAACAAGGTCATTCTTTCTCATTCTCACGAGGCTTTTCATCTCTGCAATCATTTTCTTTTCATGTAAAAAGCATAAAATGTTCGTATCACTGCCAGGCTTACATGTCCCTGGCATTTCCTCTGAGATCAGGACCAAAGAACGTGTGTGATATGCATTAATGGCATTTCAGGTATGATGTCAGTATAGTGAACTGAAATGTTTGTAGAGAGTCCAATTAATGTTTCTTTCAATTTCTTTTCCCCATTTGGTAGCACGTCTTGATGAAAATCTTATAATATGTGAAGAATGAGAATAAGGTTTGATGGTTTGATGTGGTGAAGCGTTGCCTTGGGCTCTGTGCTTGAGTGGAATTCATTTAGTTGTTTTCATTAAGTTGTTTACCACATTATGTACTATATCTTTAATAGCTCTTAGCATGGAAGTGCAGTTGTATGAATAGAAACTGTAATTGTTATGGAATTTTTACATTATATGGAGTTTCTTACACATTTAAAAGTTTCCCATCAGCACATCTCATTTACCAAAATAGTTCTTAATAGCATAATCCCCTGAATCCGGTTGATATAGTAAAGTGGGTAACACCTCTTCCTTCTATGTTGTAGACTGGGGTTCATTCCCTCACCTGGGCAAGAACTCTACTTTACTCTACCAATAAGAGTCCTTGAGCAAGACTCCTAACAGTACCTTCGCCTACCTGTGTCAAATGATCAAATTGTAAGTTACTCTGGATAAGCGTTTCTGCTGTCAATGAATGCTTCTTTTAAGGAACCTAAAGCGGTTCTTCTATGGAATTGCTCCAAAGAACCCTTTTATTTTTATTTACATAGTTCACACATTTAGGTCAAGGGCCCAAGATGACTTAAAGTGCAGTTCTTGACACACTTATGGCATTTAAAGTGAAACAATGCCTATACCATAAACGTTTAGTCAATCTCACTTCTAAAGCAATGATATTTACATTATTACTGAGAGAACTATGTAGCTGTCTTTGTTCAGAGCTCCCCCCATTTGTAGGCAGCATTGTACGCTGATACTGATACTGTACATTGTGCATTTAGCTCGTACTGAGAAGTGAAAATGTTGCTGTGCATTTTAGAATTCATCCTGCAGCTGCCATTGTCAGTCACATCATTAATAAGACAAGTGAGCCAGTTTCACCATGTTTCACACATGAAGAGATTTGCTTTCGTGACCAGTTCTATCATAATTCTGCATGATTTCCTGTTTTCATCATTCTAATAGAGGGTAATCTCTGCCTCATCTGTCAATAAGAAATATATACATTTTTATATACATTTTTATGCATCTTGAGTACTGTAACCTGGGCTCTGAGGTCATGCTGGTTTAATCTTCTCTTTATGGTGATCTTTGACAGTTGATAGGAGTGTCCTAAATGCATTCAGTAACTTAAACGGTAACAGTACATAAAAAGTAACACACTCAGAATATATTTACAAAAATATAAGAATAGGGGTGAATTGGGGGGAATGACCTCCTTAAAAGCATTGCCCA